CTCTGTGCGTAAATGATAACAGAAAAAATTCCCATATATACACCCGTGCCCAAAAAGTCCACCTTTATTTTTCATTTTTTCTCGTCAACCATACTAGCTATAATAAATTTGAAAACAGACATTTTGCGTCAGAAATCCCAAATATTGTAAAATTTGACGATTTTACCCGCGTTCAAAAGAGTATTTCGGGATTTCGACAATGGCGTGCATCTTCTCAACCAAAATCGAAGTACTCTGATTTCTGAGCCTAGTACGGGTTCAAAACTAGATCAACCTGATTCCTCTTCTAGTAACACAGGTACTACTACCCACTGGACAACAAGGGCGCAGAGTTTTTCTATGCGAATTACGAGATAAACAATTTTTCAATTTTTAAAAACTCAGTATCTTCCTTTAAATTTCAGATAAAACCTGCTTGCGGTGGAAACTTTTCATATTGCGCATTTTCTAGCGCTGATAATTCTGCACTTGATGAACACTTCGATTTTGGTTGAGAAGATGCACGCCATTGTCGAAATCCCGAAATACTTTTTTGAACGCAGGTAAAATCGTCAAATTTTACAATATTTGGGATTTCTGACGCAAAATGTCTGTTTTCAAATTTATTATAGCTAGTATGGTTGACGAGAAAAATGAAAAATAAAGGTGGACTTTTGGGCACGGGTGTATATATGGGAATTTTTTCTGTTATCATTTACGCACAGAGAGGAAACCCTTCAAAATAAACAATCTCATTGTCATTTGCAAAGAAAATGCGCACTTCTTTTCAGCTTTGAGTCATGTCTTTGTTTGTCACTCTTTCACAATCAAGGTAAAAACTTTCATTCAACTTCGTATATAAACGGTAGATTGTGTATGCTGTACACTCTTTTATTCGCCCCGACGAGAGAAACCATTAGCAGCACATACGTCAAAAACATAAAATAACAAGTTACAAATAAGTACAGTGAGTAAGCCTATTCGGTTCATCTTTTTTCAGAGCGCTCCTCTTTTCTTTTCTGGGTTTCTAGAGAACGATTGAGGGAGATGATTTGAAGCCTATAGAAAAGAGATTTTGACTAGCAGAGCAAAAGTTGTGTTACTTTCAAGAAAATTTTATGCTGTCGTCAGAGTACTGTCGATGTTGCAAGTTGACAAAATGATTCTACTTTTGCGCGCTAGTTTCCTTGGAAGACATTCATTGATAGAGCTCAACCCAGGCGTGGAACCAAAACGTCCAACTAGGCCGGATCTGTCGGTAAACCTAAAATCTATACTGACGAAACACTGGCAAATATCCATGGCATTCACAGTTTGCATTCATGGCGGATTGCAATTTTGGAGTTCACTACTTGAATTTGTCGTGGATCCGAACCGATTAACTTAATCCTGATCGGTCAGATGGATAGTCATCGGTTAGATCGCTTCTTCACCGGTTAGGTCAGCATTCTACACACTGGTCCAGGCATACATGGTCAAATTCATAATGAAAGCGATGCTACTGCATTATGGGATCATATATGATCCCATAATGCAGTAGCATCGCTTTCATTATCGCAGTTAAGAACATTAAATTTGATTCCAGACGGCTAATGATCAAATCATAAATTTGATAACGTATGTCTGGACCAGTGTGTAATGTCTCGATTAGAAAAAGAACTTCATAACATGCTTTGTATTCGAAGAACACCATAGTAACCAAACTAACTCAACATTTTTCTAACGATGCAAACCTTGTTTTATATCTTTTCGAAGATATTTTGAAGCGCATTCAATGACATATAAAAAAATGTAAACGCTTTTAGCGCCTGTTCACGTTCTATTATTGAATAATACTTGATAAGAAACAATACATATACCATGTTCATCCTCTGCAATGACAGAGGATACATTTCAAGCACAAACGTTTTTTCACAATATCTTCTAACACAGTTTCGGTGTAAGCCGCGCTTTTGTAAATTCTGAACTGCGAACTGCATAATTATAAGTCATTCGGCCACAACAGAGGTCTTAAATGAAAGTGTAATACTATTTTTCATCCAGCTTTTCATGAAAACTCCACTTCACCGCTAAATACTGTGAGTGATTTCATTTAATACGCCTTTTTTCACACAAATCGAATATCTTATAACCTTCCACAATATACTTTTCTAGCTCACTTACACTGTCTTTACTAATTCACTAAGACAACGTACGCTTAGGATCGACTTAATACTCTGATTGCAGATCAAACACAATAATTAACGAACTACCGAGTCACAGTTGTTCATTCTAACACATCATCTTACCAGCGAACTAACTTCAAAAGCAGACATTATCCAGTTAGCACAACTTCGATAAATATGCTACTACAAGGTTTTTTTAATTTTCTAATGAGTCACTGTGCAAGTTCAACTATGATAAACTAGCCACAACCAAAATATTTGCTGTTTCTTGATATATTTTTATTCACTCAAAAAACCACTATTAAACAATGGCTCAATTTAAGCACTGGCGGAGTTCATACGGCCGCTTACCATACGAAATTTCACGTAAACGGGCACCACGTGAAGAAGTAGATGATGGGCGATATCCTTTAACGAAAATTAAAGGTTCATTATTAGATTTAACCATTGGTGATGATTAGGTGCTCACGCTAAATTTCGATCTTACGCTGTTCTACGACAAAATCCGGTTGCAGGACTTGTTGGCGGTGGTATCTGGGATTTAGAAGCTAGGAAGTGGACAGATGATACGTCAATGGCACTATGTTTAGCTTCTAGTCTTATTGCATAATAGAATAAGGTCGTAATGTTAATAATTAGTAGGTATACAATTAATATGATAACAAAAATCTTCGAAAACTATCTTAAACTAATAAAAAAGTATTTTTGCATCAGCATGGCGTGCTTTTTTTATTGCAAAATAAATAGAATAGACGAAGCAGAGACGATTTATCTCAAGGTCTATATCACTCTTTCGCCTCGAAAAGTAGACCAAATCTTGTACTTTACTTTTTAAAAGTAAGTCAGCGTTACTATTTAGAATGCAAAAAATTAAGTCTTATCTACTTTATCCTGTAAAGTGAGAAAAAATGTCACTCCTACATCAAACCAATATTTCTGAATCTTTCATAAATAACAGAATTATGCTGGTCACAGAAACAATGAATCATTGATCTAACAGAATGTAAAAGAAAAACATAAAAGGAAAAAGAAAAGTCTTTAGGACTTTTTTTATCGGAGCTATAGAGATGACAAAACGAAACAAGAAAAAATTAAAATGATGTTGGTGAATAGCATTTAATACAGAAGTTGCGTAAGTATAAAAACCATACAATGAATGTAGCAACCGCAAAGGGGACTCTACTGGTAAGTAAGTCATTATTGTTAGTAGATGATCTTGAGCTAAAATGATTGTTACATTTTCAGAAAGCGAACAAATACTCAACATTAGCTACAAAGCAAGCTGAAACTAATAATCATGAACTAGCAGTAACAAATTATACTTTCGCGGCTGAATGGCTTGTTTTAATCCTTAAACACTGTAAGTAATTCGTAGTTATAGAATTAATATGTTAATAAACATCTTTTAACAATGATTTGTGCTAACGTTCTAGATAATTTCACGTCCCAATCTGAAAAAGAATTGAAACAGACAAAGGAATTTATCTTCTCAAATGCAATAGATTGCATTAAACGGGTACAAGAATCCAAAAATGTGGTAAATATAGATTACGCATCCTTTTAAGCATTCTGTATTAGAAACTAGTGTGCAATGACGTTTAAATGAATTTCAGCAAATTAAATTCCTTTCTTTTTTAGCATATCGTGACACAGAGTAAAATGCCAACTACAAAATAGGACCGTTCATTCTCTCTAGGATTATTATGTCTATTATATACGAAAATTACTAGCGAAACATATATCGATTTTCTTTTCTGATTTTGTGTTTCATAAAAATTCGACTCTATGTGATATACGTTCTCTCTCAATTTATAAAAAGGAGGAAATGGTAAAACCTGTCTAGAATAGAACATCACAATGTATTAGAAGGTCACCACTGAGACAATTCTATAAAATCTATATTTGAAGGCCATGGCTTTTTCAATACGACCACGCCCCTTTCTCGAAAACTTTTCAACATTTGACTTCGAGAAACCGTGAAATTATGCTTTATTATTATTTCATCTGACTATTTTCGGTTAGCATAACAAATACTTATACTATAATGATCATTCCCTGCTGTCTGTGTTTATTTTAGGCAAATTCCCTGTGAACTAACTCTACAACAGGACCGAATGATTTGCGAATAGTTTATAGGCTTGGAGATATAAAGGCAGTCTAAAACCGAGCTTTCTATTGTTCAGTGACCTAGAGCACCACTTAGTTAGATGTTATGAAATGAAAAAACTCATTATTTGAAGCTTTTTACTAGTTTCGAAACTTTTAGAAAATTTTGGATGGAAGGTCGGATTAAAAGGCCACCCTAATGGAAGGCCATCCTAAAACGTTTGATCCGTTGGAACACAATATAAGAGCAGGGGGGGCGGAGGGGTTACTGTGAAGAGAATTATTTCCTATCAATAGGAAATATTTAATAACTTTTTTAATAATATGCTTAGAGAGGAAGAATAATGCCTATGCGGAATATTCTAATACAATCTATGACAAAAACGATTTTATTCATTATAGCCATCAAATTGTACAATCTCCAGTGATCTGACACAGCTGAATGAAGTTGATTCTCATTTATCAAAATTATATGATGATGAGCTTTCACCTACTCTTGTTCAATTCGAACAACTTCTAAATAATCTTAATACTAACAGTAGCAATAACAACAACAGAAACCAGTTGTATCAAATATTACTAAATCAATATGAACTATTACAAAAAAATCCCGAAACTCTAATTTATTTCATTCATACAATACTTATTAATATTCTTCGACAAGATATAACAAAATGGGAACATATTGAATTGACAAAATTTATGAACGATTTTTATAATTTAACAAATAGATTTACCCCCACCAAAATATTTTATAATCATTTCGTTCATCGAACAACATTTAATATGTTCATTCAACTACTTAATTGTTCATCTATACTTGATTATTTACAAAATCAAATGAAGAATAATCTATGTCAAAAAACTTTATGGACCATTTTGGTTATAAGTAAAAGAGCATGTGCTGCTGGAGCAATAATTAATACAACAGATTTGCAACCATTGAATATTGTCTTTGAATCGTTCATTACTAATATTAATCAACAATTTGATACAGATGATAAAGTTACTAATTTAGAAATTGATTTAATATGTGGTTTACTATGGAATCTTGTTGATAGAACCGATCTCATACCGTTTTTTGTTATTACTGGTTATCCACAAGCGATTCTTAACTGGCTAAATCGTTCATATTTGAAAAAATATTTTCATCGTCCATTCATTAGTCTTGTACATAATATTGCTCGACATGATATTGGTGCTCAAGTGTTGAATGATAATGCAGTTTTTAACGTTCTAGAATCTTATAAAATTCACGTATTAGATAAATTAACAATAAATGAAGCGCAACTTCTTAAAATAAATTTACTCTATTCAATGACTACTGCTCTTCTACTGGAACCTGATCAGATTAAAAAAGGGGCTAACACAACGAATAATATTCTTGATTTTCTATTGAAATTAATTATACAATCATCACAAGCAAATGAGTTAAGATATCAAGCATTTCATATATCAGAATTTTTAATTGTATTAACAAAATTATTTGTTAATGATGATGTTGTCGATTATGTTTTTAAACAATCTGATCAAAAATTAACTGTACAGTATTTTTGTGATCTTCTCATTCGCTTCGAACATGTTACAGACGTTGATATACAATTAACACGTACTGCTTTATTAAATATTCTTTGGAGTATATCATTTAATGAAACATACAAAAATGAAATGAAAATAAACGACAATTTTATGAGTGTTATCAAGTCTTTAGCTAACAGTAATGATAATATTGTAACGGAACACTACCTTCCCAAACATTTATCGAATAATAAAAAGGCACTTGATGGTATTTTGTTCAATCTAATTGGCCCGTTAGAACCCGCGGTACTAGAAAAACCTAATAAAAAGCGTCCATTGGTAATGATTAGTTATTCACATGCTGATAAAAAATTTTGTTATCAATTAGTCGATGCTTTAAAAATAAAATGTACTAACGTTGATTGGTGGACTGATTTTATCCGTCAACGTTCCGATGAAGAAATATCTTATGCTGCTGATGTCTGGGAAGAGATTGCACATGCCATCGAAATATCAACTACTATCGTATTAGTCATCACTGAAGATTATTACAAGAGTAAATCGTGTCGACAAGAAGTGGCTTATGCTAATGATGCATTAAAAAAACCTATTATTCCAATATATGCAAATACAGTGAAAGATTATAGAGCTACTGGATGGTTAGGTATTCGAATTGCTCCATTAAAATATATTCACTTTGGTAAAAAGACATTTGATGTAGCAATAGAAGAGGTGACTAATACAGTTTTAGAATACATTGGAATGAAACGTCAACAATCGTCGTTACACGAAGTTCAAGCACCCGAAGTTATTCCAGCAATCGTTGAACAGACAACGACTGACGAAAATCACAATTCTTCGGTCTTATGTGATAAACCATTGAAAGACTGGACTGCTGATGATGTGAACTATTGGTTCAAACAAAATAATATTCATCCTGATTTGAAAAATTTATATCAATTTAGAACTGGTACGGCTCTCATACTCTATTTTGATCATTTGAAATCCAATCAATCACGTGAATATCAAATAACATACGATCTCTACGAAGATACATATAAAAAACCACTAAACACCGCTTATTTCATTAACTTTGTTGATGCTCTCACTCGTCTAAAAGAAAAGCAACAATATAAAACAAGCACAAAAAGTTGCTTAATCAATTAAATGGGACATGGCAACCGGGTTCTATTTTTTGAAGTAATCAGTTGTGTATGAACTTTCACCATTTACAAGATAATAGATTTTCGTTGTCAGTTTCTACATGCGCGTAAAAACCTCGTTTGAAACGTCAGAGTTGATCTAGACTCTAACTTTATGCAGACTTTGTAAACGTCCTACTATGTCCTCCTTTCTGGATTTTCTCCTACTTTTCCTACTTCTTTAATTTTCTGTGTTTTTAGTACAGGCAAAAAGACATTTCTCTCCTACTTTTCACTAATGAATCTTTTTAGTTTTTCGATTAAAAACTGCACATGACCCAATGCTAACTATTCATGTCAAAACTTGATATAAATTCTTTTCTCTTAACCGTCTAAAAATCATATATAAATCTACTCAGGGTACCTTCCACGAGCTTGTCTAACTTTGTTTTTTAAAAGATCTATTCTAAACGGTTAGGAGAAAAGAATTTATATCAAGTTTTGGCATGAGTAATTAGCATTGAGCCATGTGCAATTTTTAAACGCAAAACTACAAAAGGTTCATTTGTGAAAAGTAGGAGAAAAATGTCTTTTCTCATACATAATACACATTTTCCAGTCATTTTCACAAAATTAAATTTTATTTTTCTCCACTTATATGAGCTGATGAAGATAAAAAAAGCATGCCATCTGATGTAACTTTCAAAGCTCAATTCAACCATATGTGAATTATTGCATTTGGTCAACGGATCAAAACCGAGGAGACAACCAGTAGGAGACGGGTCTGAAATACAGTGCTTGTCGTAAAGTATGTGTAAAATCATAACAAACATCGCACAGAGCTAGCCGACGTCTCATTTTGTAGAAAAATGTTTGCTCTACATCTGTAATGAATCAAAAATAGTTTTGTATGTCCAGAAATTTGTATCAAAATTTAGAAAAGTAAGAAAACGATGAAACCTGTGCCCGAAAATACGAAAATTTGTGAAAATTCACTTTTTTTCTTCGAATGAGACATTAATAAAAATGAAATAAAATACTCCCCTGGACAGAATCGTCGGTGCTGTGGCATAGCTTCTCTTAAAGCTAAAAGCTACTTTACCTACTTTTTGATATAAATCCTATCATAACGGACTTCAAAATCCTACTCCTACTTACTATCAGCCAAGTAAACCATTATTTATGTAGACAGACAACATCTACCAGTATAAAGAGCAAAAATTTTTCTCCTATAAGTTTCTTATTCAGGAGATATGATGCAAGGCGAGCGGGTCGTCCAACAATAACCACGTTGATTTTTTATTAAAAAAAGTTATTTGTTAGCTTTTGAGCATCTTTTCCTAAAAGTCGTTCGTGCTTCTACGAGATCTGATGTAGTTAACTGAAGCGTTTAATTTGTTTGCTAAAAGCTGTTTTTCAAAATACAACAAAATTTCTCTGGACGGCGTTCTTGTGTACTGCAACACCATCATACATGTAAGAACAAACGCTAACGTAACACAACGTACCGTATATCAACAACAAGTAGAACAATTGTTAAATACAAATGACAAATAATACTTCCAACTTATAGTCATCATTTTAAATTCATATATAAACGGCTATCCAATATTTTCAAATGAAACAGGAGGCAAAATAGTGGGTATTTTTCGTTAGAGCACGCGGTCATCTGTTATAAAACAATAGAAAAGTGGTTGGTAACTATAAAAAGCGCTTCTTTATAGGTTTCCGACTATATTCTATCCGGTGATGAGATCGGGAAATTTCGTTATTGGGTTTTTAACCGGATCTCTGGAAAACCCAAGAATTCATCGAGGTTTTTTCGAATATTTAGATAATACTTGACTATGTGCAGCAAACGACAGTGATTACCATTATCGCCATATGTCCGATAGAATTGTAATTAAAGTGGAAAAAACTGTATTTTACCGGATAACAGCTGTTCAGCGTAAACACTACCCTAAAAACTCTAATAATTGACTTTTACATCCTAAACGTCTGCTTATTGCTAGAAGAAATCTTTTCATCTGTAAAAAGCAGTCTCAACAATTTTACACTGATGTTTTTGTAAGAGAACGAGCGATAGAAAAAATACGAGAGAAGGACGAGCGGGTAAATTTATTCAAACATCATCAGTTAGAGAACAAATATAAAAAATCCATCAATTAACAATAATAGAAAAGAAAATCCTGCAACTAACCAAATTATCAAAACAGACTAAAAATATTTGTTTCAGCCGCAACAAAAAAGAATTAGTTACACTGTTATAAAAGTTCGCTGTTAAGAGATATAGTTTTGTAGCACTTTCTTTTAGAATGAGATGTTGGAAGAACAAAGTGTTAGAGACAGAAATATTCGATAAATATTGTTATAGCAATATAGCATACAACACTATCATCTTTGTTTAAACAAGTAGTAACTGTATTTTGATCTTTTTTTCTCTTCTTGCATGAGATTTTATTATTGTTTGATATAAACTTGGGTGAGGGTGAATTCAATACATCCGTGAGATTAGGAATATGACCAATTTTTCCTAAGAAAAATTCGTGATAATTTCTAATGTCTTACAGCTTTCTAATGCTTCTTCGATAACTTCCCAAGTGAAACTCTGTTATTTCGCTCTATCAGTTCGCAACAATGAAAAATTAGAGAATGCACCCTCAAATTGTAATCAATCCAAGAGAAGTTATTGAAAACAAAATTCAGTAGTTAATTTTTACTGATACTAATTGAACGTGTTGAAGAAGCAGCGCGAAGTATAACTGAATACAAATACAAAAGATTTTTATATCTTACTTTATAGTTCTTTGGTATACATTCAATTAGTTTATCTCGTAATTCGCATAGAAAAACTCTGCGCCCTTGTTGTCCGGTGAGTAGTAGTACCTGTGTTACTAGAAGAGAAATTAGGTTGATCTAGTTTTGAACCCGTACTAGGCTCAGAAATTTAGACAGAAATTTCACCATGTAAGATGGAAAACGGCCCTGCAATTACGCCGACATGATGGTCAAGGCGTCAGCATCAAAAGAACCAGAACGATGCGACTTTTTTCCGAAATCATTTAAATCAAAATCAGTGTTTGAACGGGCACGTGAACAATGTGAGCAATAAAATGATGTTTCGATCACTGGTTTATCGAAAGATACAGATAACAGTAAGTGATAACAGGTTTTCATAGGAAGATCTAAGGGAACAACAGAACTATGTTAGAAAAAGACCTAGAGATGGATTTGTAGTTGTTTCAACTTCTCTCTAAAAAGAAATGGTTACAGACAGAATCTTTTAAGGGTTCTCTCCTTGGATCTTACGCCGATCCCTCAAAAAGGTTCTGTCCAAAAAATGTTCGGTACGGAGCCTTCATATTTTTTCGAAAAATACGTTCCGTCTGCGAAATAAGGTTTAGTATTAAGTATTTATAAATATATATAGTACGTTTGACAGAGTATAAACGTTAAGCCGTCAGATAGTTGCTTTATCTACTCACAACAGGTAAGGTTTATGTATGACGTTGGAAATAAATGACAGATAATATTTTACACAAAAGTCAGGGAAGAGTTGAATTTTGGTAAAATAATAAGCGCGTGAAAATAAGATACCAATTCTTTCTTCAGTAAAGAATGATGAACTAAGCTCATGGTTCCATGTACCGTCCGAATTATAAAGAACTTGAAATCGACAAGTCCCCGTCAGACAAAATCAGAAAACCCTCATTAGTTTACCTTCGTAATAGTTGTTTTAGTCAATTGATATGTGAAATAAGTGCAAAATTGTATATTCTGCAAATTCCCACAAAATTTTTTCCCTTGAGTACGCGGCACAAAAATACAGTAAGTTCGATCTAAACCGAAGATAAACAGGACTTTTTAGAAATTTTCTCTTTCGGTAGAATCTTAGCTCAGCTACAATCATTTCCTGAAAGTTTTTCACATATACCATAATTAGTTGGTTGTCGAGATAATTTTTCTACTTTTGATGCTGAGAGAGAAACGCGTTTTAAGACTTTTGTGTTATTGTAGGTAGCCAAAATTAAGTAGTTATCTAGAATTTCGATCGATTTTTTTGATCGAATGAAGTATCAGATAAGATATCGAGATATGAAAACATTTTTGTAATTGAGTTCTCCACATAATCAATTTAGATGTATCAGCTAAGTGTCGTTAGATTATAATTCTTATAACAGTCAAACGGTAAAACTTATTCCTGATCCCATCTAGAATCTATGCTGGTTTAGTTTATAAACTAATGCAAATACTGTCACTTGCGGTTAATCGTGAATATTTCGTTTAAATACTTATTTGAATCATATCACACATTCACATTCTTATATGTTTATTCGTGCAATTCAAAACGATTATGCTTCTAATTCACCAATATCATGATGTCATACAGCTCCCAGGAGAAAAATCTTGAGTGCAGATCTTGATAAATCTTTAAAGATTTCTCAAGTTTCGCCCCAGATCTTTCAAGAACTTGTGCAGATTTATCGAAATCTGTCACGATTCTGAATGGAAAGCAATGCTGCAGATTTTCCACAAGTTTTGTATCAGAATCTGTCGTGATAAATCTTGAGCAGATCTTGTCAAGATATTTCAACAATTCTGAAATGATTAATTTAATATGCAATAATCCGAATCTTCATTAACATATTTGGGAATTTGAAAGAAAATCTTAAACTTCATTTTCTACTTAATATTTTCATTTTTTTCTATTGTGTCACTACAGTGCAAGCTCTACGGTACTATGCATACAGTACCAGAGCTGTTGAAAGTGCACGAACAACCATAAATTCAAACACAATGTTGGAATTTTACTTTGAAAATTTTCAATGTTCTGTAGTACTAGTATTTATTCTTATATATGCAAGAACAATCTCAAACAAAATGGTGATTGAAAGAATAACATATTTATTTGTCTACCCTATCGACCAACAGAATTTTAGCAGAAGTCCTCTACACTGTAGTACTACAATAACTATAAATAAATGCAAAGTTGGCATATTTACATTTTTGTCGAACCTCTGAGTC